TATAGCATACATCCATGTCAAAATTATAGTACAATTTATATTAAAGGGAGGGATTTTAAGAAATGAAAATTTTTGAATTTCAGTAAATTAGCTGTAAAATTTATATATTGATAACAAAAAGTAAAAACGACTTGCCTTTATTTCTGGTGCACAAGCTTCCATTTGGCAAACTCTATAAATTCCCAATTTAACTATTCACATCATAATAACTGCACTCTTAGCATTATAATTTGGAGTCAGAAGCAAGGCTTTAGAAGGTTACTCATGAATCATGTTACCAATTGCATTTGAAACCTTCTTCCACTGATATTTGCAACTGAAATACTGACCAAAGAAGGGTATTCAGAGATCGTCTATAGTCAAATGCATGGAAAACCTTCTTCCTTTCCAAAAACAATCAAATTGTAACTTTAGATCCTTCACAAACTGAGATCTGCAAAATTTAGGGTCTCGGCAAAAATTAATGTTGTATGTTTTAATAAGACTAACAGACGATATTTTCAAGAGATATTCAAAAATATCATTCAGAACCTTCTACCATTAAGCTCTTTAATCTCTATATTAGAGAATAGTCAAAACTTTTTTTTTTATAGAAAAACACCCTTTTTCTTCCAAGTTTTTACAAACAATTTTGACCTTCTTTCAAAAGCTGCAAATCACTTTGATTAGAATTTTTTTTTTATTTCCTTGAAAATGGCATCTCGGACACATTCGGTACATAGAAAGTCGTGTTTCCATCAACATCTTTAACCAAAACCAGTTTTAGAAATGATAGCTCAAATGGCCAGATTTTTCAACAAAAAATAAGCACCCTTTAAGTACTTTTTAAGCACTCAAAGAATATTTTTAATCACTTACCGAATAGAAAATCCTAGTTAGGATCTGTGCAGTAAGTAATAAAAAATTCCATCGTTTAAAGTTCTTAATTTATGAACATAAAATCAATAAAATTCAAAAACATTTTCAAAAACATTACATAATCATCATAAAGTAACTAGTTTCTGAAAAATATTGCAGAGAAAATTGTGAAAATCGTGAATTTTTTGTAATTTAGAATGACAATCGACACGGCAAGAAAAAAATCTTTTTTTTTGAAGATAGAAAATTAAGCACTTTTTACAAATCCCGAATAAAAAAAAAAAGTTCCTTTAAGGGCTTTTAAAAACGCAAATCAAAAATAAGCACCTTTAAAAACGTTACGTACCCTGAAAGAGTAACATACTCCCTAGTTTATCTATTAATGAAAGACTAAGTGGGTTCTGTAGTTAATTAACTAAAAACAAAAAGTATATGTATTTTAACAAAAGGCTAATGCAAAAAGTTTCACATGTGCTGCTAAAAACTTTGCACAATAAACAAATGACCAGCAAAATATCTCTATTAGATAAATTTTGTAAACAGATAGGTTTCATAAAAGTTTTTGAGGCTCAAACTAGTATTTAATATTCGAGTGCACTTAGAAATGAAGTTAGGGATTTTGCAGCATTTTCAAATTTCTGTATTTTAAACAAGGAAAAAAAATTAATTTTTCGTAAACGTTCAGAGTAATGTTCTGCATAAGTTTAAAAGTACCCTTACTTTATCTTGCTCAATCTTTATAAGGAAAAAATGCACAAATATAATATATCTTGTTTTAAATCAATCAACAATTTGATAAAAAAAAATATTATCAAAATATAGCTCTGCTTAAAACAAGTCTTTCTCCATTGCCTAAAACATACACTACTTTCATACATACATATACATATTTTAAAGGGCATGTTTTCTAACTGACACCATCACAAAAGATTAAATTCAAATATTTTTCATTGTAATTCAAAACATTCTTAATATTGCATAGTTCAGACACATTTTTAAAAATTTTAATGAAATAGTTTACTCAAAATATCATTCAACAATAAATATAATAGAGTAGAGAAAATCTTAAGCTTCATAATATTGGGCAGTTTGATTTCAATCAATACACTGAACTACCATTGAATCACAGATAGACAATGATAAGCATATTGCGTAGAGCTGGACCTCCACTTCAATGCACAGTGGTAACTGCATATATACCTAACACTATGGGTGTAGTTAATCAGTGGATGGTAAATTGAACTAACATTTTACTTCACTAGCTACATGCAACATGCAATACACTTGCACCAACTCACTCTAAGTTCTTTAAAGGCTAATTACTCTTACAGTTTGTCTAATCACATTCATGCATTCTCAACATATTGTTGGGCTTGAAAATCTTATTTCTCTAAAGCTTTTAAACATTTAATTATCCAATCACCTCACACTAATTGTAGGTGTTAAAAAGCATATAAATCTGGAATCTTATTCATACTGGCATTTAAAATGTCTGACTAACAATAACCATAGCACATATGCAACAACACATAATACATTACACTATATATACAGGGGTGATTGTGGGCCTAACTCAAAAATCCTGAAAATTTCTTGAGTAAAATCATTCAAAAAATTAATATCTTTATAAATTTAAATCATTGAAATTTTGAAAACATGATATTATAAATGAATTATATGCAGCATAATTTAAATGAATAATTATGTTAAAGTTTATTTTATCTCTAATCACATTTATTATTCTACCAGAAAAAATATTTATAAAATGAAAGAAATGCCAAGTATAAATTCTAGTTCTAATATTTTTAAATAAAATATACAAGAATTTTTATATATAAACGTGATCGATGATTTCTTGAAACTTCTGGATTTTGGATTTCAGGGAACTTTAGGATCGCGGGTAGCGAAAAATCCGGAAATTTAGATTTTTCCGGAGCACAATCACCCCTGTATATAAGAAGCAACAAACAGTATTTATACAGTTATCACATTGCCTTCACTTTGTGCATAAATGAAGTGTATAGCTGTACAATTCTCCTAGCTTTGTCTATCACTAATACAATGGCCCTTCATTGTACAAGAACTATAAAAACAATGCAATAAGATGAAAAAAATAACAAAATTACCTCACATAATCCAATAGAAATTTTCACATTATAATGTATAAATAAAATGCATCAATTTTAATAACAAAAAATAATGTTATCAACAATGCATAAAATTTATATAGAATACCTGGCATTTTTAGACAAAGTATAAAATAAAGGATTATTGTACATTTTCTTTGGGCATAGTATAGAACAACAAATGCTATTTAGGTAAAGTATGAAATAAAGGTCACGGTAAGGTTAATATTTAAAAGATGTTCTTTTTTCATTAAAACAATTCTCATTTTGGAAAAAAAATAATGAAACGAATTAAAGAGGTCTATTAGGTATATTGCTTGCAATGTAAGAAAAGTCCATATTCCATAGAAACAGAAGACATTTTATAGAATGTCTGATATTTTTCCAATGTTTAAGCAATGGAAATAATTTAATCATTGCATATTTTGTCAGTTGGTTTTCACTCTACAAAATGCCAAAGTATTTTCTAAATTTCAAATTTTACCAGCAACAGATACATAATAAGAGAATTAAAAAAATTATGTTCCAAATGCTAAAATTAATGAAAGTACAAAAAATGAAGCCAACTGTTAGAATTAAGAATATTTTAAATGCTAAAACTTAAGATTAATATAGGAAAGTGGGTATAAATATAGGAAAGGAAGTAAGATTATAAAGTCAGTTTCACTTACTGTATAAAACATTATAAAATGTTGTGCCTGGTTTTCAACTGATGAAATTTTAAATAATGAAGTTTTTAAAAAAAACGTAAAAGAGTCTCAAACAAGTAGAGAAGTATATATAAATATGATATAACAATCAGTTTAGAAGGAATTCTAATTTTATGAATCTAAAATTGCAATTATTAAATATATCATTCAAAAATGATACACATGACAATGACTAGTCTAATTACTGTAGTTTTGTATTAGACAAAAATTATAAAAAACAACATCAGCTGTTTGAAAATTATAAAGTGTATGATATAAACCAAACAAGTTAAATTTTACGGATGTACATTTAAATCAGTGTAAAACATAGACATTTTGAATAGTACATGTTAAAATATTTTGCAAAAATTTCATATTTGATAATACAGTTATCGCAACTAATAAAATCCCGAGATTATAAAATAAGTCAATTTTTTAAATCATACCTGCAAAACCAGAACTTTTACAATATCGAAACATGTAAAAAAAATCTTTTGATAAAATCACGTTTTCATAAAATTAAGTTTTTAGTTAGCCAATGTTACTACTACTAATAATAAAAACACGCCTTTTTTTGTATGAATATAGCCTGAAAAATCTCTTTTAGTTGAAACTTCAATGACTCCGAGTTTTTAGTTAGCCAATGTTACTACTACTACTAATAATAAAAACACGCCTTTTTTTGTATGAATATAGCATGAAAAGTCTCTTTTAGTTGAAACTTCAATGACTCCGAGTTTTTTTTCAACTTTTATCACTACTTAAAGTTACCTAAGTTTCTGTATACTTAAATAAACAATTGTAAATTGGTACAATTTTAAGAGAAGATATTCTAACTGATAAAATTTGAGTATTGAAGGGTAAATTTCTCTTTAAAAAAAACGTAAATTTGTGTTAAAATAAATTTGTTTAAAAACACACATTGTAACAGAAAATGGAGTATTTAGCAACAGACGAATCCAGATAATTTGAAAAATAAATATTTAAAACTTTAAATACATTTATACAATACATAAGAATTTATATCAATAAAGTAGATATTTAAGAATTTTTACTTATAGCTCTAATATACATAAAAATAGAGGTAGACTACATATATACATACTTTATGTATATAATAGTAAAATCTGGTAGAAAATATTAAACATTTACAAACAAAAAAGAAATATATTAAAGGCAAAAACACTTTACACAATCCTAACATAATACTGTAAATATAATAAAGTTATTCAATATCTACAGTTTATGGTAATGAAATAGAACACAGTGATAAACTTTAATTATAAAGTTTTTCAATATTAGAGATTTATTTAATAAAATATTCACATTCAAACTTTCTTTATAGTTCTTATTTAGAAGAATTTTCTGACGTAAAGTCTAAATAAGGCCACAATAAGCACATCAATAGTATCCCACTCATCGATATCCAGAGGATCATAATATTATACACTGCAATTAAAAATAAAAAGTTACATTTATAACAAAAATTCTGTCAATTAAAGACAAAAAGAAAATAAGAAAAAAGGGACAAACTCTGAATTTTTAATTAGGTTTAAACTTTTAAAACTTTACATGGTTGTAAACAACAATTCAAATACTACCTGCTATAAAATTTCCTTTGCTTCAAAAATATATAAATAGCAAATAACCATCAACATGTTTCAAGTGCTTCAAAAATAGGCGCCCATTTTCAAGACTTGCCAGACTCTGATTCCCGCCTAGTAAGTCTTGAGAATAGGCATCTCTTTTTGAAGCTCTTTATTTGCTATTTATATAATTTTGAAGCGAAAAAAGTTTTTAATTAGGTAATATTTTACCACTTCAGTTTCTTGGGATTTTTTTTTTTTTTTAACAATTCAATTACTTTATATGGTTGTTCTGGTTATAAAAATTATCAGATATAACTTTCAGAAAAAAGAAATTTTTCTAATTTGTTAAGAAAACAATTTGCGCAGAAAACAAAACAAAAACGAAGGCATTTATTTTATTAAAAGAAGAAATAAGTTAACAAAAGCGAGCAAGAGTTGGCAAAAGTAGAACAAACCGAAAATTATTTTTTAATATTTTGGCACCCCTAATAATCCTTGTCATAACTCCATATGCAACAAGTGCATTGCTATATAACTTTATATCAATGATATACCTAATATACTTGTCATATGTAATATGTCAAAGTAATGTCATATGTAATATGTTAATAGTAATATGTCAAAGAATTATTGCATTGTTTTACGTATAATGAAGTATTACTTTTATTTAAGCTAATTACTACAGTAGAACTCAAATTTAACATCACTCATTAATAAAAATGTTCCGCTTTTAACATCTTTTCAGCTATGCTCTCTTTTATTTCTTCTAACAATAATGTATAAAAAAAAATCCGATATTTAGAACACCGATGTTCCGGAAAAAGTAAATGAAGTTAAAAGTTTTAAAAATGGCAGTTCTAGACCAGTTCTGTCCCAGAAAATACCGACAGCATTTCTGAATAGAATCCTGAACCTGATACCGAATTTATGGAGCATTCGTAATATGATAACAATCTCATGAATTGTGAATTAGAGGCAATTTCAATAGCTGAAATTATGGAATCTAGCAGAGATGAAGGCTGAATCTTCCCCTGAGGAGACTGAAAATTTTCTTCCAAGAACAAGAGTGAGAAATGTATGCCTTGAAGTTGTTATAAAATGCAATGTATACTTTAAGTCAAGAAGAAAGGGAGAAAACAAGCAAAAACGTCAGATTCTTAAGTTTCAGATTGTATTTAAGTATTTAACACAGTGTAACAAAATTTATACAAATTAAAATTTCAGTTTTCGTGGGAATTTCTTCACTCCCAATATAATGATATCTCGTTATTAATGACAACTTTCCAGTCAGACGAGTGTCATTAAATAGAGATTATACTATATTAAAATTATTCAAATTAGTTTTTTCAATCATCAGATTAACAAAATGGATTAATTCTATTGAATTTAAAATAGAATGTATTTAAAATATAATTTAATGAAAATTATGTATTTAAAATAAAATTATTTAATTGAATTAAAATGTCTTTAAAAATAAATTATTTTATTGAAATATGTGATTAAATTAGATTTTGTGTAAAAATAAAGAACTGACTGAATATTCATCGTTAAACAAAAAATTACTATTCACTGCATCCCCACCAAATACATGCAACTCTACAAAAAAAAAATAACCTTATTCAGTTGCAGTTGGAATACAATCTTCATTCATCCATTCATTTTAGTAAAAAAGAAAAAAATTAATTATAGATTCAGATATATAAAATTTATCACAGTATGTATTTTTCTTTTTTAAAATACTTCTTAAATTACCATTAATATAAAGTACTGTTTTTTAAATTATTACAAAAGAAATTTTGCATTGTAAAATTATTATTATTCATTAATTTTAGTTTTATACAATCAAAATGCACATATTCAATGTGATATTCTCTCATGCCCTCTGAAGCTTATTAAGCATTTACAATCTCAAAAAGAGAAAATTATTAATTTATATGCATTCATTATGTTATAAAGCCAAATATTACCGTAAAATTATCCTTCCATTTACATAAACAGTTTTGAACTTTTTTTACCTTATAAAATTATTATGAGTGATATCGATATCTTTTTCTGACCTTAGAAATCTCAATAATAATAATTATAATAAAATTTTTTAAAAAAACCTCCAGATTTAGAGGCCACTTAGAAAAGTTTAATTTTTTTAACCAATAAAATGGATAATAATAAGTTTAACTTATTATAACAGGGTTGCCACTCAAATCTGGAAAAAATTTCTCTGTGTTTTCCCTGTACATATTTATACACAATATATTAAGAGGATACTGTGCTCTTGTGTGAGTTATATTGGGAAAACAGTAAATAAAATAGTTCAGTATTATAGCTGAGATATCATGGTTAAATATCCCATTGATTACGCTTTGAGTTGTCCCCATTTTTTAAAAGACAAAAATAAGAAACAAAATTCCCTGCATTTTTCAAGTTTGTAAAGAAAAAAAATCAAAATTCCCTGCATTCTCCCTGTTATTTTAGGTGATTTTTAAATTCCCTGTATTTTCCAGGTTTTCCCTGTGTAGTGGCAACCCTTAAAACATTAAAATGTCGTAATTACTCAAAGCAAAGAAAATTTCATTGCCACACTTTTCATTTCTATATTTCATATAATAACATTTGTCTCTCAAAGAGTTATTCATAGATTCAAAAGAAAAGTAATAATCTTCTTTTATTAAAACTTTTCTCCTTAGTCATTTAGTTCTTTTGTAAGTCAATATCTAATATAAATTCGCTATATTGATATATAAAAAAAAGCTTTGCAAAAAAAATTGTATGATAATGAAACAATAGTTAATATATTGAAAATAAAATGTCTTTCTATGACAATGCAATAATTTTTTTTTTCTTGAAAATTATGACTTATTAGGGGATTTAGAGAGGAATCAAGAAGAAATATATTCAGATCAATTATTCTTTAAAAATAAAACACAAGATCACAATTATTTTACTTTACAAGTCATTTAAAGAATATACATCAATATATAAGGTCAGAAGAGCTCTACAATGTTTTAACACTTTATGTTAGTGTCCTCATTATAATTTTAGATTGAAAAAGTCATGCTTATTATAGCGCAGGTAAAATGTTTATGTAGGACTGTTTTCATGACATGTTATTTAGTATAAAAGTAACAGAGTTAAAACAGAATAATTAATTCAAGGGGTTTTCAAGAAATTTAATGATGTTTTAATGCAATGATTAGATCAAAAGAAGGAAATTACCCTAGAATAATTAAAACAAACTAATAAAAATAAATAATATGCTAAATTCAAATTTTTATTATAAAAAGTTCATAACTTTTCTTTAATTTCTATTTTCATAAAAAGAAAATTTAGGCCGTTCCTGCAGTGTGAGTTAATCCATTGAAATAACTGAAACTTAGAAAATGTTATTCAGACACGAGAGTATGAAAAGAACAAAAATTCTTAAAAGATCTATTCTAACATGAAAAAATAAATTTAAAAAAAAAGACATTATTTTACACAAAAAGAAAACTTCTAAATTGTTCACACAATTAAAGTTTATTTTAACTATTTGTGTACGTTGACAGTCCAGCAATCTGTAAAGATTTATGATTTAACATGAGGAAGATTGATCATGGCTGTATACCTAGAAAGACTGAAGCCCTTCCCAGATAGTTTGTGATTGTGTGTAGATCAATTAGACACCCAAAATCAAAATATAATCATAATTAATTTAATAAAAATTTATTATAGACTTGATCATTGAAATTCCATGATATTTTATTCAATTTGGTTAACGAAAATACTTCATTAAAAGAAACAATGACTTTACAGGGTATCTGCTATATTTTAGATTTCCAAATTCATGACTTTTCATGATTTTCCATGACTAATTCCAAGAATTTTTCAAGACTTAACGAAGTTACTATTTTCTCCGACACAAACAGAACAATAAATTTAAAAAGGCATTATAATAACATTAATTGAAATGATAGGTATAACCAAAACTGTTATACTCTGCATCTTTTTATTTATAGATTTTAAATTGATAAAAAAAAGAAATAATAATAATAAAAATTCTGAAATCACAGAAGTTTAAAAGATAATTCGCTCTAGAAATGATGTTTTTCTTTCATTTTTTGAAAGAACACCATAATTTTTAAAGAACATGATTCAAACATTTTATATTTTAATAAAATGTGACTGTGAGTGGGGATTTTGTTAGAAATTAAGATATTCGAAACACCACGAAATTTGGGGATTCCATTTTAAAAATAAAATTTTTCGGCAACCTAAATCCATGACTTTCTTTTTAAAAATAGTTAAAATCATGACATTTTATGACAAATTTAATTCAATACCGAAATTCATGACTTTCCATGATTTTTCATGACTTTCCAGGGACGCGGATACTTATACTTATAGATTAGTTTCTCAGACAATTGAGCAGATAATTAGATGACATAAGATATAATTGAATTTCCTTTCTCTTTAAATAATAATTATACATATGGTGGGATACATTTTTTAAAATGAGACTGGGGTACTTTATACTTTTCAAAGAGTATCTGATACTCAAGTTTACCTGGGGGCAGGGTTCATGATTTTTTTGATTTTTTTAAAAAAATCAAAAGAATCAGATTTTTTTGATTTAAATCGGATTTTTTTGATTTAAATCAGATTTTTTTGATTTTTATTCAAATACACTGTAAGAACTTTAATTTATGATTAAAAAAAATTATAAATGTTGAATCAAATTAACTTAATATTAAAACTATATTGTAACAATATTTTAGAAGCTCTAACTAAAATAATTTTTCATTATAATACATGGCTTTGAATGCATAGCAATCATTTTGAAACAAATGCATGATTAAAGACTAGATGAAATAGAGAATTTAAAGAATACTTCAGGGGTCTGTCTGGGTTTTTCTAAGAGTTACCTATTTTGTGAAAATTAAAAATTATATTAAAAAATCAACACAAATATAGTAAAAATATGGATTTATTGTTTCTTACGAGACACAAAAATAAAATTTTAAGAAAAAGTATTTTGTGTGATTATTCCATCATTTTTCCTAAAGTTGAATTTGTAAAGGTACCGTTAAACGTTAGTAAATTTGGCTTGGACAGACCCCTGTATTTTAACTATTAAAACAAAGTTTCAGTTAGCAAACCATAACTTTATTTAAAATTGTGATTTCCTTTTTTTTTTCTCTTGATTTTTAAAATGACAAAATAAATGTAGCAGACTGTGTTTATAAATGTAGTCATTCATCAAAAAATAAATAAATATTTAATCTATATATTTTTATATTAAAATATTCAATTTTAATTCTATATCAAAATAGATAAGTTCAGCTAAAAAAAAAATTTGAAAATCTATGTACTCATAGGAATTTTTTTTCACAAAATTTCTTTATAGAAAATCAGATAATGTCAAAGATATTGTAAACATATTATGAGAAAAAAATACCAATTAATAACCCTACTGCGTCAAGTAGACTTTGAAAAGGAAGAATGACACTATATTAGGAAAAAAACATCTGAATTCATCAGCTCTTTTTTTTTCTTCTTTTTCTGTTTTTGGCATATTAGGGTAATTTCTTTTTCATATAACCTCAAGCTTCAGAAATATACATTTTCCACCAATAAAATATGATGTATATTTTAATTCACGCTTTTTCATTCAAAAGGTAGAATTTTAATTAACATTATTTGTATTATTTTTTGAAAGAAATTCATGTTTATTATTTACTTTCTACAGCTATGCAAGTCTATATTAAGACAGCATTAAATGTTTACTTTAATCTGTACTTTCAATCTCAAGAATCAAAAGATTTTTAAAAATGTAATTTCAAATGGGTTGGAATTTAACACACACCAAGAAAGTAATTTCGTTAACTAAAATTAATTAATGCAGCAATTTATTTAAATTAAATTTTAATACTAAGAAAAGAAAACAATAAAAGTATCAAAAATTTAAAACACTGTTTAACTTTTAAAATCAATATATATAGATAAAAAAAATTAGTTGATTTAAATCAATGATTTTTTTAAAAAAATCATTTGATTTAAATCATGATTTAAATCGTGATTTAAATCAAGCTGATTTAAATCAACGAACCCTGCCTGGGGGTGAAGAGAAATTAACTAAACCTACCAAAATACCTAGAGACCAACCTGACCACTTCTGTAATTCTAGGAACAAGGTTCTATGCATAAGTTTCTATAAGACTAACACATATGATTAAATAAACATTCAAATTGAATCAAATTATGAAATGTCAGAAATACTCAACACTTTCAGCAAGTTATTTTCTGAATTACAGGTCAACAAAAACGAGAGGGGCAAAATTAGTCCCATCCGTCATTCTAGAATTAAGAAAATAAAATATTAAAAATTTAATTTTTTCTGAAATTTAGAAATCGGAAATTCTGGCAACTGGTAATTGGTCTCTCAGTGTAAATGAGTTAAATAATGCATTAAACAAGCAAGTGTAAAAATAATGAAAATAAGAGAGGAAAAGAAAGAGGCAAAAATAGAGAACAGCATACTTTATTCCAAAATAGTTAAATCGAGAAATGTCATTAAACCAACTTGAATAAAAACATGTAAAAACAGCCATTAACTTACATCTCTTGATCTATTGTTACTGTTATTTCTAGACTGGTTGTTTGATTGAGGTGCTGATGCCGTTGGTCTATGATTGTCTTCCTCATTCATTTCTTCTTCCTGCAACCTCAATGCTAATTCTTCACTTTATATGTAAGAGAAAATTATTTTTAATTCTTTATCTTTATGCTGTTTTGTTAGAATTGATATATATAATAGCAAAGTATATAATAGCATGCATATAAGACCAGTCTAGAAATAAGAGTAATAATAGCTATTCTTAATGTTATTTCTAGACTGGTTAGTTGATTGTGGGGTTAATGCTGTTGGTCAATGATTGTTTTACTCGTTCATTTCTCTTCCTGCAACCTCAATGCTAATTTAACCCTTTATATTAGGAGTGCACAACCAACGACGCAAGACATATGCGGCCCACCGACCATTGATGTACCTTAGTGATTCATGACTGTTCTGGTGACCCACATGAAAATACGTAATTAGTGAATGGTACTCAAGTCAAATTCAAAGATTATGGCACTGATCTATAACTAGAATAGCGTGCGAAGGTCAATAACTGGTGATGAACTTGTGACCAAGACTGTATATTATATATTGAGAAGAAAATTAAAATAATTTTTTCAAATACTTTGTGGGTACTTGGGGGATGTTAGAAAAATCTTTCCTTGAACAGAATATTTATGGATCAAATTTCTCCTGAACACTTTTTTTTCGGATTAACAGATTACCAATCTTATTTTTAAAAAAAATTAAATAAATAAAAAAATTTATATTATGGTAAATACTGAAGATTTACTATGTTTAGAAATTATAGTTTTTAATTAATTTCTCATTTCTGTTCTTTAAAATTTAATTTTCTGTTATTCAATAAAACTTGGGACAAGAAAAAGTGATTACTTTAAAAAAATTAATAATTTGATCTATAAAATTTATTATTTGATATTTTAAAATAATAAAAATTGGCAGTCACTTCTATTTTCAGAATTTCTCGAACTTTATTATTTATTCATTTTTCTTTTATACTTATAAGCGTTTAGAATAAAAATTTAAAAAATAAAAGTAATCAAGAATAAAATATTTGATTATTGAAAATCAGACTCCACTGAGTCAGCCCATCTCAACAGCGGCCTTCCCCGCTTTCTTGTTCCAGTGGGTCTAAAAAGCAGTATCTTTTTTATCGTATTGTCATTACTTATTGGAATCACGTGGGCCATCTAATTCGTTTGAATTATTTTTATGTATTTTATAATATCAGGTTGGTTATAAATCTTGTACAGATCAAAGTTAAATCTCCTTCTCAGTTATTGTTTTCAGTTACACCACCAAGTATACTCCACAAAAACTTTCTCTCAAATATTGCGATGCAATTTTCCTCCACTTTTGTAATTGTCCAAGCTTCAGAAGCGTATGTCAAGACTGGCCGGACAAGATTTTTGTAGATTAAGAAATTTGTTTTTTTCTAGGGAGAAACCTAGATTTAATAAATCTCCTCAACCCATATTTGCCAGATAGAGCCGGTTTTTAATTTCAGGAGTCATTCTGTTAACTTAATCAACTAAGCAGCTATTTAATTTACTGATTAGTTTTTTAGACTCAATCAAGATTCAAAGAGTTATTAAATTGTGTATAACTTTCAAGTCCTATCAACTAATATTGTATTGACTTATCAGACATTATATTGGAACTAATTAACAGATCAATTTTTAGTTTTATTTACATCAATCATCTATCTTCAAATATATCTGTCAACTATATTTTTAATAAATTTATGGAATGCAATATCATTGTTATTTAATTTAAAAATATTCACAATGTATTCAAGAATTCACAATGTATTCATATTTTTGCAAGCTAATCATAAGTGTATGACATTTTTCTCTCTTGTCCCTTAATATTTTTTTAAAATTTTGAATTTCTGTGATACCTTTACTACTTCATAAAATGAATATGGCTCATTTTTTTGGTGCTTCTCACACTATTCTATTGATAAATGTTGCTTTGGTTACATTAGGGTTCCCACTCAATTTTTAAAAAATAAATAAAATTCAAGAATCTTTTAATGATTTTCAGAACTAAAATCAAATTTTTCAAGGACCTACTCAGTAACAGTTAGTATGCTAAAAATATATGGCAAACAGATTTTATTACATTGAAGCATATATTAAGTTGATCAATTTAATATTGTTTAACAATTGTAGTGATTTTTTAATATGTGAAACTTAGAGCTACCAATGCAAATGATTTGATAGTTGCCCTGTGATTTAAATCAGTATGAAGATTAACAAAAAATTCAGTATTTATAAATTTAAAGATAGATTCAACTAGTTCTTATGCAATTTATTTCAGAAATATTAAAAAGCACTCTGGCAACAGCAGATTGTCGGCAGAGGGTACCATGATAATAGGTATTAATAAAATACTTATGAAAAAAAATCAGAAATTTTGCAGGTTAATTTAAATTGAATATTCAAAGAAGAATATTTCAATATATTTTAAATAAATTACTTTTCTAAACGTAAAAATCCTAACTAAACAAAAAAAAATGTCTCAGAACAAAAAAAATGACCATCAAGCAGTAACACCAGCACACACATTTAACGACGATCATGCAGACATGAACAAGAGCCTATAGTTCCACGCGAACAAACATAACAGATTATAATAAGAACATACTCGGAAAGGCCATTTGATATTCCCAGTTTTTTCTTTTTAAATTCTTCCCATTCAAACTCATTGCTCTGTTGTTTTTGTTGCTCTTCTTGCAAACTTAAAGCTACCAAATAGCTGTAATGAAATTAGTTCATTGTAATTGTAAGTTAATGCAAACATTTCAAGACATGCATATTTTTTATCAAAGTTAGTAAAATTATAGATGAACTACAAAAATTCTAGTTAAATATTTCTCAGGAGCTGAAGAAGACATTATAGCAAGGATGGAAAAAGCATAAATTATGAAGAAAAAAATATCAACTATATTACTATTGAAAACCCCACAGATTTTTTTATTTATTATTTTTTTAGAACAGAACAAGAATAGTTTTTGAAAAGGACAAAATTTGTTTTGGATGTATTTTAAATGCAACTTAATAAATGAAATTTTTTTTTTAAATAGGCACATGCCGTTTTCATTATTAACGCTGCATATAATCTAGTTTCTATCATAAATATTTAAAGATAGATTCAACTAGGCTTTTGAGGCTTTTTCCAGCCTTGTTACAGTATTTTTTAAATTCTGACAATATTATTGGGAATTTTAATTTTCAGAACTATAAGAGCTTATACCTTTATTAATTAATTAACTAAATTTCAAAAGAAATATTTTTAGTTTAAAACATTTCCTTAACCAAGCTAAATGCTCTGTTTTTGTTGGTTCTTCTTATAAACTTGAAGGTACCAAACAACTGCAATGAAATTAGTCATTGTAATTTTAAGTTAAGGCAAATATTTGAATGCATGGATATTTTCCAATGAAAGTTAATATTATAGATGAACAAAAAAATTTATAGTTTTATATTATTGAGAATATTAATTCTCAGAACTATAAGAGCTAATGTCTCAGAGTAATTAAATAAATTTCAAAAGAAATATTTTAATTTAGAATATTTCATTTACCACATAGATTTCATAAACTATTCAGAAAGTAGGGATTTTTAAGGTATTGAATGTTACATTAATTAATTAATGCTATGCTATATTAGTAATTAAATGCCATATTAATATTATTGATATAATTTCAATTCTCAAAATTATAAGAGGTAATATCACTAATGACTAATTATATAATTTTCAAAACAAGTATTTTAGATTTAGAACATTCATTTACCAGATAAATTTCATAAACTATTCAGGGAAGTTGAGATTATTAAAGTTATAAAATGTTATATTTAATAAGTAATTTTTAATCACAGTTAAAACACTTTAAATGTAAAAGTGTTTGGGAATGTCTTATCCTAAAAACTGGTTTAAAAGTCTCCGTTAATAAAAGTTACTTGATTAACGACTACCTTTCGGTTATAAATCATGATAATTTTTTCAGTTATCATATCTTATCAAAACTTCTAAGAATGGTAAAAAATAAATAGTATGAGAAAATGATTTAGTTGGTAACTAAAAATTTAAGAATAATAAGATTGAGTATTGCTTCATTTTGCAGCAATTCTAATAATTGTAACAACTTTGAGGAGTAGGAAAGCTTTCCATAAATATATATATCTACATACATAGCTAGCTCTAGCTAAATTAAAGTTTAAATTCCTAGCTAATAAACTAAGTGCTTTTTTTATTATGATTTTACAAATTGTTGAACCTTAATTCAGTTTGGTTTATGAACTGTAAACTTATTTCAACATCACTGAAACTGGATAATGTTATGAAATAGAGAAAAGGGTGATTTTTTATTAATTTATATTTATTCATTTATATTTATTTTTTTTAAAAAAAATGTGCCATGTTAGGTAAAAAGAAATAAATTGTTAATGTAATATTTTCTCAACAAATATTAAGAATATTGAGAGATCACCAATCCTAGTAAGTTATAGCTCGAAGAAACTCTACGCCTTCAGCGTTTGATTGGCTAAAGCAGGGTCTAACCAATCCAAGTTGGTTAAAGCTAGAGTTTGATATCTACAATACATTTGATTATGTGGACAATGGCTTTTAAACATACAGAAAACATCGGTGTAGAAAATACTGTGCTAATTGCCCTTAATACTGATAGGGAGTTGGAATTACTAGCATGATAGTTGATGACTCTTAACCTTAAAAAAAACGTCTGTGCTGTAAATCATAGTTTGTAAGAAACACATAGGCTATTTATGTATTACCTGGGGTACAAGCTAAGAAAATTTAGTCACTGGTCTTAGCAAGAGATTAAAGATATTACAAGGCCATACATATTCTTACCGGTCCATTTACAGGTTTCCATCAGATTGATGGAAACCTGCTCCATGATCTTTTTTTTAAAGTTGAGTAAGTGAATTTATGAAGAAAAAAATTACAATACTGCGAAATTGTAATGTCACAGTTATTTATAATAAAATATGGTAATTTTTTGACAAAAACTCAGATGAAACAAAACACCATATCACCCCTTTACAGCATATCACCCCTTTACATTTACATAGCTGCCAACCTTTAGTTATAAAAATGCAGAAGATAAGACAAAAAAATGCAGAAGAAATGCCTAAAAATGTAGAGATTAGCAACTGCATACTAATTACTAATAAATTTATAAAAGAAGCGGATTTTAATTAATTATTTATTTATAAATTCACTTATTGAGCATAGAAAAGCAATACTCAACTTTTTTTAAAACAAGAAAAAGAAAATAATTTTTTAAAAAAAACTTACTACTAGCTACTTGATGGTACAATATTCTTGATTAAAGGGAAATATGTCATATTTCAGGACTTATATTAACATTAGTTTAATTACAATATACAGTAGAACCTCGATTAACCGAGGTTTCTGTTAACCGAGGCAATAACGAAGTCTAAAATTTTTTTTCTCCTCTCCAAAATGAGCTTGGAAGAAATTATACACATATTAGTTCGTTGTCCGTGTTACAGGCACTTATTCCCCACAAAAGCACTCAACTTCCATGAAATATTACACCCTGAGAAGACAACATCCATGAATGCTTTGTTAACAGTGGTCATGTGACTTGTAAGTTTAATCATGTAAATTTTAAAAATACAATATTTTCTTGAGATTTGTGTTATTTTTGAAAATGCGTCTTTCGATATTTAACTAAGTATAGTTAAAAAAAATTCCATTTTACTTTTCAAAATTTACTATTAGAGTTGATTTCCTTTTTAAGTCTTTTTAACTGTGAAACATAAGTTCATATATGTTTATTTTTATCATTTAAAAAACGTTCTATTGTTTTTTACTTTAAAAGTAGTTAAATTCGCTAGCGCGGAAGGTTTTTATACATGGTTCCTATTAACCGAGATTTCCGATATCCGAGGTACTAGCGGTCCCAATTAGCTCGGATAATCGAGGTCTTACTGTAATAGCATGCACTATATATAAACTTAAAAGAAATTATGAAAAAAGAATTAGATAAAAAAAAATTTGTTCCTCTGGTGTTTTGTCGATTTTACATGTCTGACTATATCAGTTTTACCACCATGCGCTATGCTAGTCATTTTTACATAAGTTGCACCGTACATCATGTACTCCAAGATTCTATCTAGAAATAAATGGAAATTCAAGAGAATAGGACTCCTTAAAGGCTTGCTTGCATTGTTTTCGTTCAGCCATAATAAATCAACAAGATTAATCTAATGAGCAAAAAAATATTGCCATAAACCAATTGCTGTTTTGCTTTTACACAAGCCATTTTCTTTTCACGTTTGCTCTCACGCTGGCAAACAGGAAGCCACGTGATAACGGGAAGCGCTCTCGCAACATAAGCTGAATTCTTTCTCTCATAGGTAGAAGAAAGGAGAAATCCATTACATCACACTGAACGATGTGACGTAAATGGAAGGAAAGGGAGGATCACAGCAAGCGGGCTTTATAAGGCCCTTACTAGAGGAGCATCGACGTCTGATTTAAAGAAAATACTAGCTATCGGCGGGCGGGTAAAATGTGGAAGATCTTACCTTCTGCACGTAAAAAATAGCTAAAATAAGTAAAAAGGCAGAAAGCTTCTGGAAAATGCGGAAGGGTTAGCAGCTATGCATTTATTAGTGGATTGGGGGACCTTTGATAATTATTTCATATTCGTTCCATCAAAATTTAGTAGTTTTGGACGAATCTACCACTGTTAACTTAAAGCCTTGTTAATACCTGATAAGATACTCTTTTATTTAATGCAAATTCTATCTTTAAATGACTAGGAGTGGTTAGACCCAGGTTTAGCAAATTAAAGATAAGTGCAGATTGTTCCTATTTTAGCCATCGAGAATTGATTAACCTCACTTAACTCATTTAAGCCTAGATCAATTTTTTTATTCTTGCTTTATCCCTAAAATGCATATGTGCTTAAAAGAGAAAAGGGCAGAACTTTTCTTCAAAGAAGAATACATGGATCTGAGAGATACATCCAATACTTGGTGATAAAAAAGGTGATACAACTTAAGGAACACTTCAAAATTATATAATGAATAATTTATTCATGTTTACTACAAAAAATATTAAGTAAAGTATACAAAATTTTGTAACAAAATAATACAAACATTAATAAGGAAGTACTTAAATCCAACATTAACATTATCGTTTAATTTGGATTTGTTAAACAAATTTTATGTTCGTTACAGGTTTAATATTTCAAAACTTTAATATTTTTTTTAAAATTTATTTTCATTGCATAGCAAGCAGAACTTTTTTCTTCTTTGAGTGTTGAAGAAGCTGTATCAATGTCATCAAAAGTTGAGAATATTATTACTTGTCGCATGCACAAGGTCAACTACTCAGGACCTGCAAGGACAGAAACAATATTCAACAGAGTAATTTGCATCTCTCAGATAAGCCACTACTATTTCTTTAAGATAATTGTATCCTTTCAACAATACTTTAAAATTTAAAATATTATTCATATTTATTTAGTCTGTTACCGACAATGTTGGCTTTTCTTCATCATCATAATTGTATCCTTTCAACAATCGACATTACAATTCAAAGTTTCAACTTTCTTAAAATTTTGTGTGTTAAAAACGATTATGCAATTTTTTTTCCATAAAAAGATTCAAATTTTGACATCAGACGCAGTTTGATTAAACTAATTTTCTAAACAATCTAATAATTATTAATTTAATGCAACAAAAAGGTTAACTTAAAAAGACAATATAAAACTTAATATTTAAAAGTATTTTCACTCTAAAACTTAACGAATAAAATAGAATAAAAAGTCAATTACGGTCAATTCAGAAAAATTGTATTTAAATATGAAATTTATCTATTTAAAAATTTCCAAATAAATAAACATTTTATTTTAAAAAATATCCTTTAGAAATAATTCATAATGCTTAAAAATAATTACATGAGGAGGCTTTAATCATCTATGCTTAAGATTAATTTAACAAAAGATTTAGGAAATCTCTAAACAACCCACTTGTTAGATAATAGTTTTACGATTTTACATGTTAGTATTTGTTAAAAATTTAGTAAATATTATAGTAGAATAATTTCATTAGTTACTATGACTAATAAGATAATCTTCTTCATGAATTTTGAATGACTAGTATTTCTTGTTCTAATTTCAAAGCAAATAAAAATTTATAACCTATCATAAAAAATTAGTAGCATACCACTAATCCACTACATTAGTTAAATAAATCTGGTCCACTTCAATTAGAAAAATAAATCTGGCCTACTTCCACATTAAATGTATGCTTGCTTACACTACTATTAAAAAAATGTTAATAATTTTGTAAATTTTTTTTCTTCCAGTTAGCCATTTTATTTTATGACCGTCGTTAATCAGCCGACCCAACTTCAAGTTTACGACTACCAATGTTCAATGCCGTACTTTTGTAATTTTGAACCCAATTCAGAAGACAAGGGAACTCCAGGATTAAGAAAAAAAATTGCTTTGTGGAGGACTTTTTGATAGAACTAATCCTCATTTGCGTTGCATGGAGAGGTAAAGCCTTCCACGTTTAATCTGACGACTCGGGGACTCTAACCCATGATCCGTCTACCACTGAGGATATTTTACATCAGCAACTGTAATTGGGGCGAGCCGGGTGCGTGATTCAAATCGATTTCCCTCATTGGGAGGCAAACGCTCTATCCCCAGAGAAACCATGGCTCTAAGTTATTCCATTTGTATTTAACTGGGTAAAAAGTTTAAAAAATAATTATATGCGGCATTTAAAAAAAAGAAGCCTTTTTTATAATTGGATCATAAAACACTAGTTTAGACAATAAAAGAAAATATAAATAAATCAGATAGTACAACTAAGAGAACAAAATTTAATTCTATATATATTGACATAAGCCACAAATCTTTACAAAAACATTTACTGAATGAACCTAAGAGGATACTTACTCTTGGTCGATTTGTTTCTCTTCTGGAATATTAAGTGGCAACGGTACATCAGCACATTTTGGAGGAACCAGAACAAAACTTGAATCAACAAACTGACCATCTCCTTCAATGTTATCTAAAGTCTCCCAAACAACATTTTCATTCAAAAACCCTTGATCAGTAACCAACTGATAAAGGCAGTTCTAAAGGATAAGAAAAGATAATACAGGTTTAACAAAACAAAAAAAAAAACAAAAAAAAAAACTGGACAATGATAAATCTCTAATTGTAAGCAACTAAGCAGCAATTTAGACTTGACAATTAATTCTATCTCATTTCATAATAATGAAAAACGTTTACATGATTAGCAGGGTTCGTTGATTTAAATCAGCTTGATTTAAATCATGATTTAAATCAAATGATTTTTTTAAAAAAATCATTGATTTAAATCAACTAATTTTTTTTATCTATATATATTGATTTCAAAAGTTAAAAAACAGTGTTTTAAATTTTTGATACTTTTATTATTTTCTTTTCTTAGTATTAAAATTTAATTTAAATGAATTGCTGCATTAATTAATTTTAGTTAACAAAATTACTTTCTTGGTGTGCGTTAAATTCCAACACATTTGAAATTACAATTTTAAAAATCGTTTGATTCTTGAGATTGAAAGTATAGATTAAAGTAAACATTTAATGCTGTCTTAATATAGATTTGCATAGCTGTAGAAAGTAATTAATAAACATGAATTTTTTTCAAAAAATAATACAAATAATGTTAATTAAAATTCTACCTTTTGAATGAAAAAGCGTGAATTAAAATCTACATCATATTTTATTGGTGGAAAATGTATATTTCTGAAGCTTGAGGTTATATTAAAAAGAAATTACCCTAATATGCCAAAAACAGAAAAAGAAAAAAAAAGGGCTGATGAATTCAGATGTTTTTTTCCTAATATAGTGTCATTCTTCCCTTTCAAACTCTTTCAAAGTCTATTTGATGCAGTAGGGTTATTAACTGGTATTTTTTTCTCATAATATGTTTACAGTATCTTTGACATTATCTGATTTTCTATAAAGAAATTTTGTGAAAAAAAATTCCAATGAGTACATAGATTTTCTAATTTTTTTTTTTTTTAGCTTGACTTATCTATTTTGATATAGAATTAAAAATGAATATTTTAATATAAAAATATATAGATTAAATATGGATTTATTTTTTGATGAATGACTACATTTATAAGCACAGTTTGCTACATTTATTTTGTCATTTCAAAATTCAAGAGAAGAAAAAAAGAAATCCCAATTTTAAATTAAAGTTATGGTTTTCTAACTAAAACTTTATTTTAATAGTTAAAGTACAGGGGTCTGTCCAAGCCAAATTTACTACCGTTTAACGGTACCTTAACAAATTCAACTTTAGGAAAAACGATAGAATAATTACACAAAATACTTTTTCCTGAAATTTTATTTTTGTGTCGCGTAAGAAACGATAAATCCATATTTTTACTATATTTGTGTTGATTTTTTAATATAATTTTTAATTTTCACAAAATAGGTACCTCTCAGAAAAACCCAGACAGACCCCTGAAGTATTCTTTAAATTCTCTATTTCATCTAGTCTTTAAATTTTAATCATGCATTTGTTTCAAAATGGTTGCTATGCATTCAAAGCCATGTATTATAATGAAAAATTATTTTAGTTAGAGCTTCTAAAATATTGTTACAATATAGTTTTAATATTAAGTTAATTTGATTAAACATTTTTAATTTTTTTTAATCATAAATTAAAGTTCATACAGTGTATTTGAATGAAAATCAAAAAATTCTGATTTAAATCAAAAAAATCCGATTTAAATCAAAAAAATCTGATTCTTTTGATTTTTTTTAAAAAAATCAAAAAAATCACGAACCTGATGATTAGTAAGATTTCTATATTTCTAGAATATCTTCTATTTGTTCAAATGAGATAAAATTAGAACTACAGACAGAAATGATGTGCTTGACATTTATTAAATGAAAAATTTTAGAACGAAAATACTATAACTATAATAATTGAAAACACATTTAATATGTTTTATAAATGACTGCTATGAAATTTAATCTTACAAATACTCTTCGGCAGGATGCATTGTCTACAATTTTTAATATTCCTAACTACCATTTGAAATGGTATAAATGATTTATGAATTATTGAATATCCCTAGTAAGGCAGACATTCTCTTAATCACACACAACCAGTAATTTTCACCCAAAAAAGGTCTTAAAAGGAAACAAATTGGTCAAATTCTAAGCCAATTTCTCTGTCAAGATTTTCTTGTAAATCCAGGTTGTTTTTCACTCAATCATTCTCCAGTTATAAATCGTTTTCTGTGATTTTCACAGTTTTTCAAATTCTGATATTTTTAATACTCTGTCATTACAGCACACTAATTTTAAATTTTAGTTTTCACTTTTTATGGATTCGATTTGCCGCACTTCCATCCTAAATCCACATACAGGGCGGGCTCCTACTCAATTTAAAAATAAAATAAAAAATTTTAAAGACTTTTTAATGACTTTCAAAGACCTAAAATCAAATTTTTCAAGGACCTACTCAGAAATATAGCTAATATTCTAAAATACATGTCATCGTTTTAAAAGTGATTTTTTTCCCCAGCTAAACCAATTTTGCAAGTTTTTAATGACACATTAGTAAAAAAAGTAAATTAATAAAGACTTTCAAATTATTTTTTCAGCTAAATTTATTTTTTAATATTTTATCAATTGTAGTGTTATCGTTTTAAAAGTGATTTATTTTTCAGCTAAACCAAATATGTTAAAAAATTAAATCATTATTCACTTACATTGTGCTTAACTAAGGAGCTAAAATGATTGTTACGAAAGAGAACACACAATTCATCTTCTTTAAGTTTAGAAGTAAGTTCATAAAGGCCATGATATGTAAGTTGAGAGGCAGATTTTTCCAGGAAATGTTCAGCAACTAGAGCTAAAAGATAAAATTATTTTGACACATTTTATTTTTCAAAATCGGTATAAATTAGGTAGCATTAAACAACAAAAAGAAAAATAGTTATCAATTATGAAACTATACTCTATATTTAATGCCCATGTGTCACAAAAGTGACAGTTTTTAATTGACAATCATCTTTAATTTATGATGCTTGAAGGAAAAATACTAAAAACATCAGTGATTCTGGTAGACTTTAGAAACTACAGCCCCTTAGGAAATTGTGTCCTCCACTTCTGAATTCTTTTTTACTAAAAGCAGGTTCCTATTTAAAATATGAATTTTCTACCTCTTTATACATCGATTAAAATGCACACATAACTATTGATAGACAAAACAAAGAACTCCACAAAAGCATTTTATTTGAACAATCAAGGCTTTGAATTAGAACTGATCAAACACCTACATCAAGGAAAAGCAAAGATGTAATATGATACTCAGAATTATTCTTATAATTTTTCTCCTTCAGCTACTAATAAAGGAGAAAAAATACTTTTTTAAATAAATAGTTTGGCTATAACTTTGTTTACACACTACTATTTTGTGCTGCATAATTACGCATCCTCTGGGACACAAAAAAAAATTTTTTTTTGCGCCCTTCTACAATTGTTTGCTTATTTGACAAATTATAGCTTGTAAGTGAAATCACTGGACAGAAATGTTAATAAATTTTACATTTTCTGATAATTAAAAAAAAAAAAAAACACTTTTCTATTTAAAAATAAAAGTCTACTTTTAGTTTAATCTTCTTAAATATTTCATTAATTTGTTTCTGAACGAAATGAGAAATTTCTACTACTACACAAAAAAAAAATTCCTTTATTGCTATGAAAGGTGAACATTATTAAGAAAGATATATTGAGAAACAACATTAACATGTTAACTGCCGCATCACCTATAATTGGGTGACAGCAAAGTTTCTGATCGGGCCGCTTTACCTATATTCGGATGACAGCAAAGTTTCTCATCGGGTCGTGTCATCCATATTGGAGTTACACTTATTCGACTACTTTGCGAAGGATATTTTTAAGTATTTGAAAAGCTATTTCACAGGAAGTAACAAAACTATTAGATTTCTATAAAAGTAATAAAAAATTAGATTTATTAAGAATATTATTGTGAATCTCATAAAAGCGTCCTTGTTCACTGCTATTTGACTCACTAAGAAAAAAGTTTTTTATTTTTAAAATTTCAATAAATTAAGGTAAAGATTTTAAGTTATATTCCTTTTAACTCGGCAAAGATTCAAACTGATCGTGTAAAGTGGCGAGATGAGAAACAGATGCGAAGCAATGGACACAAATAACAGGCATGATACTATGTAAACAAATTGAGCGAGATATTATTCTTGTGACCACCAGAGACTTGCATTATTAAAATATCGGTGGGAGTACTGTAAAAGCGTGCGGCAGTCAACATGTTAAATAAGCTTGAATAATAAGCTGTAATTAATAAATATATACATACCTTCTGTTATTTGGTCTGGATCAGATGAAAATTTTAAATTTATTATTTTCTCAACCAGCTGGTTATAGCTACATTTCCCTACAGCCCTAACAATTTCTTCACTTTGAGGATCTATCAACCAACCATGGTATAGCGGTATCCTTAGCAAGTCAAAAATAATGCATTCTGATGTATATTCGAAATCACTGATTCTGAAATATGAAAAAAGAAAAATACTACAATAAAACTCAAAAATATTTGCTCTTTATATTTCATTATATCCAATACTCTCTTTATATACTCATTATATCCAATATAATTTTCTCAACTAATTTTACACTTCCCGCATGCATTCCAGGCTCTCTCATCAAGAACTTCTGAGGTTTTAGAAACTTATGATTTATGAGTGCATTGTTTTTGGAGATCAGCTTATTTGAAGAGACCAAAAAATAATAAAAAATCAAAGAGCAGTCCAAATATTTAGTGAGTGTTAATTCGCATAATTTTTAGGAACATTTTTCAAAGAAACACAAAAACACTCATTTCTTATCCAAAATTTTATGTAGTACTATATATAATTCACTGGGTAGTAAATGGTTAAAACTTTGTTTTTATTAATCTCAATTACTGCATTTGACTGTACAACTCAGAAAAAAAATTTCTAAAATCTAGTTCCATTTTAATGCAATCATAATTGAATACAAAAAATTAGTTTTTATGTTTTATAACAATAAACTTAATTTATAAATTATATCTTACAGTTTGCTTAAGAAACTTCAATAACTTTTTCAAGCTACATAAATAATTTTATTTCCTAGAAACTGATAGTTTTTGATAAAAGAAGAAATTGCTAATTAATATAGTTTAACACACATTCCATAATTTTTTTAATTCTTTCAATTTCTGATTTAATGCTTGCTCCAAATGATAGCGATGAAAACGATTAAGATTAACAAAAATATCTGAAGATATACCCACAACTGATCAAGACTTTGAAAGCATAAAAATTTTAAACATCTGTGAATGTAAACCATAAAGCAAGTTTTCAAACAATAGTAAGTATTGAAAGGAATATTGTTGAAAATGAATCTAAAAGGGAAAAAAAAAACAAGATTTCACATTTTTTCTAGTAATTCATCTCAAAAGTGTCACTGTTTGTAAAATATGCTTACATTTTTTTAACCCTGATTTCACATTATAATGATTTGTGCGCTCTTTAACGCTAATCCGATAGAAAACGTTAAATCGGGGTTCCACTGTACATATATGCAATGCTTCAGCTGAACTATATTAATTCTTTTTAAAAAGGCAGAATTACCATACATTCAAGTAAAAACACATTGAATTAGCATTCAGAAACATCGATAGTGCATAAAATTATTCACAGATTTGTAGTTAGTTTTAATTTAATGGTTACTCTTTGTCCAGTGAAAATTAGTATTGTAAAAATTTGATAAAAATATGATGCGCAAGACCCTGTGTCAAAATGTTTTTGAGCTATCTGTGACAAAACTCAAGCACTAATATCTTTCTGCAAGATACTTTTAATAACAAACATAGATGTTACTCATTTAAAATAACAAAAGCGCTGTGTTTACAACAAACAAAAGAAACTACTATAATTTTTTTAAAATTGAACACGCAATAATTTTTTATTCATATATTATGAGTGATATTCACGCATTTTGTTGCAGGGAAAACTCGCTATTTATTTCCGTCTTCGCATTATTCGTAAATAATAATCACAATAAAAAATGAAAATTATAAAATCTGCTGCCGGAAAAAAGATTGACAATGAAATCACGCAAACCGGACTCCTCAAGAAGGGATTACTCAAATTCGCGCTTTGTTTCGAAGATTAGGTTGTTATATAATATCATATAAAAAATATCAGATTTAAAAACTACGGAGAAATCAGTAGCAATAACTGCTAAAAATTCGACATAATCATTGCCTCAAAAAGTAAATACTCAAATGCACAATTTGAATTTTCCGTATTGTTTGAAATATATTGGGATAGTTAAAAACCATGTGAAATTAATACCAGTAACTGTAGAAAATTAAATCAAAACATTACATCAATTTGATATTATCAGCGTAAATTGAGCATATCAAAAAGTGATTATCTAAATACATGATTCAAATATTATGTGTAAATTTCTGTAGAAAAGTTTTAAATAAACAGAATGTGAAAATCAGTTTTAAATATACAGAATGTGAAAATCAGTTTTAAATATACAGAATGTGAAATGAATATTATACAAAAACTCAAAATGAAGTTGTTTTGCAAGGTAAAAATCCCAGTTTATTAAAAAGCTAATTAATTTTTGATCAAACTTACCCAGTAAATTTAACATTAACATCTAATCCAGTCTGAAGTTTAGGTAAAACTGCCATTGCATCATGCATATTCTGTTCAAAATTTAACTGAGTACCTTCAGGAATATTCTACAAAATGCAAAATTAAATTTTATATAATTCCAACCAATTGGTTTTTACAAGAAATTTTTTTTATAGATGAAAAGAAAACAAAAATTTATAATAACTTACAGTAGGGATGCTTTCCAAAATACAATTGCCGAGATATTCCATCAAATTTTCTGTTGAAACAAAATCCGCAAGTGAAGGAATTGTAATTCTGCCTTTCATAATTAGAACATTTGTAATAGCAATAAGAGGGCAGGGACCATTTTCATTCTAGAAAGAAAAAAAAAAGCATTCCTTAAATGTTTAAAACATAAGATGCTATATTAAATTTTCTAATTAATAATGATTGAAAGTTACACAATGGGTAAAGGGAAAAGCTAGTCTTAAATTTTAGGCCCAAGAGTCAAAAAAGGATACATCTTGCCTAGCACTATGTCAACATTAAAAATCTAGTTTACATTAAGAAGCACTTAGTATCTTTATTAAAGAATAAAATTGAAAAATTTTACTGCAAAACTATATGTGAATTATGAATTTCACGTCTTAAGAGCAAATATTGACTAATATGTAGTTGTGACCTATGTCAGTGTTTTCCCTAAGCGTTTTTAGAAGGGTGGTCTACCTTTTGATCCCTATAAATGCACCCTCTTTGCCCTTTTTGTAAAAGTAAGCCACCATCCTTTAAAAATACTGCCTTTTTACTCATATGTTAAAAAAAATTAATAACTCATTGTTTAAATAATAATTATGCACTGGTAAAATTATTTGTGTTTACAGGTTTAGTTCTGATTACTATTACAAATATTTACTTTAAGATTATTCTCAACTAGTTAAATTTCAAAAGTTTTTTTTTTTTTGAGGGGATATATTAATGAATTTTTTAAGTGATTTTAAATGTTAATTTTTAAAATACCTTTTTTAAAAAAATGCACCTTTAAATATTCATTTTTTCTTAATTTTCAGTTTAAATTATAGAAAAGAGCTTTCCAATTGTTTAGCAATTATTTTTTTTTTTTTACTTTTTTTGAAAAAATTTATGCTCAGACATAGTCTTTTAGCATGCCTTTAATTATTTTTTATTAACAACAATTTTTTTCGTATTTTGTTTGATAATGTGTTCAGAATTCCCTTTTTGAAATCTATACATAAACAGTATAAAAGGGTAATAGTATGGAGGGAACAGATAAAGCAATTTAAAAATTGTTGAAGATCAAATTCAGTACACAATATTACACAATTTGATAAAGTTTTATGGTGTTAAGTGAGTGCCCTTTAAAAATTCAAAGTGCCCTTTTCTATGAGAAAGCATCCTGCCCTTTTTTATTCCTAGGAAGAACTCTGCCAATGTTCAAATATATAGATGTGACCATGTTAACTTTTATCTATATGTATAAGATATAAATGTAGGTGAGTCACAATGAAGTGTCCCTAAACATTTTTGCATAGAAGTAATTTAGTGGATGATCCCTCAATTCACCTTTTAGCAGGGTTGGCAAGATTTTGCCGCAGGTGGAAAAAACCATGGTAAATACCGGTAAAAATCGTCCTGGCAAAAACAGGTTTTTGCCAAGCAAAGTGGCAAAAACCTATATTTTCCAAGATGAGAGGACAAAAAACACATTTTTGATACAAAATTATTCCTAAAATTGAAATATATACTATGAATATAAATATTTACAAAAAAATTAACAAAACTATTATTCCATAATTAAATGATAATGTATCATTTTAGTAGTTTAAAACATTATTGATTGGAAAATTTGTGATTATTCTCTTTTTTCCAGTGAAATGAACTTATTTTAAATTAATACAAATATAATTTAAAGCATAAAATATCTGTCAACATGTGTAGTTAATTATTGTACAAATAATAATTTTTTATAATAAATAATAGTATTATACAAATAATAATATTTATTTGTAAAAAAACATTTATTTTAGGATTCTAAAATGAAAAGAGATCAAAAACTTTCAATCTTTTAAAAATTATTACCCTTAGGTATATTAATTATTAATATGTTAAAAATAATTTTTTCATGTAATGTATCAAAATTATTATTCCTTATGATTGATTTAAATTTGTTTCAAGTATTTTGTAATAATATTTAATCAGCAATTTAGATAATTTGGTTTTTGCCGGTTTTTACCAGTTTTTGCCGGTTTTTACCACTGTCCTGGCAAAAACCCCTTTTTGCCGGCAAAAACCCCTTTTTGCCGGCAAAAACTCCAACCCTGCCTTTTACAAAATTTTATGAAGTTATTACCATTTTTTAAAAGGAAATTGACCTTTTTAGAAATCTGATAAAAGTTAGAAATCTGTATTTGTGAAACTGTAAAATTTCACCCTATTATTCAAGATTTGTTATTATTTGTTATATATTCAAGATTTGCTAGTTACTGAACCTGTTGAAAAAAATAAATAATAGCCATATGAAGACTGAATTTATCCCCATAAAAATTTATAATTCAATATGGTTAATTGAGTTTCTTTTTTATAAAATTATTGAATTCTTAAAAAGTTTGGAATTCCTATGTAAGATTATGTACCTGAACCCTGTATTTTAATTATTTAATGGTCCCTAAGTTTGAATTATCAAATTGAGCAATTTTCAACAGCATTATTAACTAAAAAAAAGGATGTTGGATCGAAAAACCAAATTTTTTGATTCTTAAAACTGATTATTTTAAAATCCACATTTGAATTCTTAGAAAATAGGATGCTCTGAAAAAATTAAAATCGGGAATACCAAGAGAAAAAGCAAAAAAATCAGAACAAAGAAGCACAATATATGATGAAAATCAGGACAACTACGCAATTAAGCTAGAAAAATGCTATTAAATATTATTCAATAACAATATAAGTAACTTTTTATCAATAACTAGTCATTTAAACAACAATTTAAATAAGTTGGGTGTACTATTATTAAATAGAGATTATTATTTAACAAAAACATTCATGACATTATTATTTATTACACTGAATTGATAAAGACGTGACGTAAATTATGCTGAAAAAGAACACATAAATAAATTTACAACACATATGTAAACTAATGAATAGTAAACAATTAAATTTTAAATAATTATTGAATTGTTGCTTTGATTCAAAAATCATTAAAGACACAAAAATGTAAAAGTTACATAACTGAGAATTTTATTACGAGAAAAAGCACATTGAAAATGTTCCAAACAAGAAACAAGTTTAATGAACGTGTAACACTTAATGTGTGTTCTTAAATCAACCACAGTGTGGACTTCTTTTTATTCAACTATCTTGGAAAATTTCTGTTGTAAAATATTATTCTTTTGTTTATTTTCAGCAAAATAATTATAAAAATATATTTATTTTTATAAACTTTCTTTAAAAAAAATAATAATATGTACGAGAATAAATCCATAAAGGAAATTTTTTGTGTTCGTTTTTTGAAAATCAATAATTATTGATTCTCAAAATTTGATCATTTGCCGATTTTTATGGACATATTTCATCCTAAGGACAGAAAAGTGGCTCACATGCCTATATTTCATTAGAGAAACTAATGTGAAGTAAACAACTAAACTAAACCAAAAACTGTTTTAAATATGTTAAAATGTCAACATGTTAATAATATCGAAATCCCATTCAGTATTGATTTGATGGTCATAATATCAAGTAATTGTATTTAGTTTAATTTTGCCTCATTGGTAAAATAGAATGAATAAAAAATAGCAAGTTCCAGTTTTTTTAACCATTTTGTTTTAAAACGCTATGCATTTTAGAAATTTCTAAAATTCTCCCAACTTTCTTTTGCAGTTTTAAAATTTTTAAACCCTTATAACTTGCAAACTAATTGATCTAGAGATAATTTATATTTCATGTTACTATGTTCATTCTTTAAATGGAATTTAATAAATTATGTAATATGGCTAAGTTATTATAACCAATGGTGTTGAGATACGCGGAATATTGCAATATTCACGGAGAAATCACTTGCCTTGCTTCTAGATTTTAGACCCGCCTCGGGTTGACAGAAAATCAGTATAAGGATAGAAAAGGCACTAAGATAAGAATACCAAAAAAATCAGAACATTTTGACCTAAAATCTTATTTTCGGAACAAGGTTAAAAAATCAGAAAAAATGGGATTTAATCAGAACAGTTGGCAACAATGAAAATTTATCTACTTTCTAGGTCAATTAGTTTTCATGCAAAAACTATTTAAAAATTAAAATAATTTACTTAAATAAAATAATTTATTTAAATAAATAAAATTATTTACTTAAATATAATAATTTACTTATTTGAATATAGGCATAATTCAGAAACAAATAGTTAAACAAAAATATAATATATCACCTAAAAATAATTGAAATCTGAACTGTTGCCCTAAAGAAATTTTAAAAAAAAAACTTTATAATTATTAGATTTGATATGGAATTACACAATAAAAAAAAGTTAGATTAATGGAGGAAAACTTGGTCAGGGGGTAAGGTAGGGGTGCACAACCTTTTTCAGTGAAGGGCCACATGCACAGCAGATTGACCAATGAAGGGCCGCATGCCAAAGTGTTTAGACCGACATATTGAAAGCAATTGTTGGTGGTGATTGTTATATAAACATCATTGTTTATATAACACTAAATTCTTTTTGTCGGTTAACCTTGTAATCTCTTTGCAGAAAATACAATACTTTAAAACGTTTAAAATTAGAAAATGCAAAACTGATTACTTAAGAAGGAAAACAGAATTCGAAAATCAGAATCAATTTATCAGAAAAAATTTAGATAAATTGAAATAATTAAAAAACTATGGAAAAATTGAAATTTTTTT